GAAGCATATTTAGGGCTTTGTTTGAATACTGTAAGATCTGTACAGCATTAAGAGTTGTATAAGATCACTGAGCAGTTTCTGTGTTTTAAACTACACCATTTCAATGGCATTTTCTGTATAGAGGAACTGGTCATTAACCCTCATTATTGAAGCAAATGGCATTTTATTTCAAGGGAGCTTTACAGAAATAATGTTTTTAATATGATCCGGATACTATGTTAATTTTTCCCTTATTTGGGAAAAATATGTCGTTAAACAAACAATATCAAGCTATCTAGACGTTCTTTAAATATACATGCTTTGATAAAATGATGTTTACTTGCAACCCTAAAGTGCATAAAAAATATCAGTTTTGAGACGTGGATACTGTTAATTTTTCCCTTATTTGGGAAAAATATGTCGTTAAACAAATAATATCAAGCTATCTAGACGTTCTTTAAATATACATGCTTTGATAAAATGATGTTTACTTGCAACCCTAAAGTGCATAAAAAATATCAGTTTTGAGACGCCTTTGGGTTCTGTATTTAGCCTCAGTCGCTAAATCAAACCTGTCACATGAAGTAAATGAATTACAGCTGGACTTCTTCACAGCAGTTATTGAGACTGACTGTGGTCCATTGTAAACCTGAAGTTGATTGAAAAAAAATCCTATTAATTTCTGCTGCAGATTGTGTTGTTTTGACAATTCAATTATTGAATTCATTTCAATTATCTGTCTATCTATCTATTGATCGATCTATCTATCTATCTATCTATCTATCTATCTGTGTGTGTGTGTGTGTGTGTGTGTATACAGGTATATATGGTTTATGAGGACACAAATGTGTACAATGACATCGGTGTATAATGACATAGGTACTACAACGTAAACATGGTTTATGAGGACACTTCCTGTCTGTCCGTAAAACAAAAGGCTTAAAAAACATACAAAACGGTGTTTTAAGAGTCTCTGAGAAAGAGAACCAGGGCAGAAGTCAGAGGTCAGAGACACTGAACACACAATCCTGCTGAAGAGCCTCTAAGCTCAAATGATTAAGTGGCCTTTTGCTTTACAACATTTGCCAATGGAAACACAAGGACAGAATAGCTGGATAAAGCTGTCTCTAAAGGATAATGCCCTGAAATCCAAGCGGACTTGGACCTCAGAGAAGAAAATAAGACAGAAGTTCAGCAGGCCGGTGGGAATTTATAGACATTTAAAACAGTCTTAGCCTGAGCAAATTACTCTGGAGCGTGACTTAAGTACCCTGAGCAGTGCATTGATCTGCTTTTCTGCATAGTTAATGAGCGTCACTGGAATCTGCTCTTCCTGTTGTGCTCTTTGTGCTCCTGCTGAAGATGGCAGCTAATGAGGGCACAGACTGCTTTGCTGTTATCTGTTACCTGTCACTCATAATGCTGTAAGAACTTACTGATATAAATAGGTAAATTAAACATGTAAAATGCCTCCGATGTTGTCAGAGACACATTATGATAATGAAGGAAAATGATCAAGACAGGACATGAGAAAGCTATATCTGTAGATCAAATATCAAAGAATATAATTTAAAAGTAAGGAAACAAGCAAATGACTGTAAAGGCAATGGAATGACAATGGAAAAGTCACGGAAATTCAATGGTCAAAAAGGGTGGGAACACTTAAATACATTTTCATGCAAGGCTTACTGGCAGTTAGACAATGTTATGGATGCAGTGTTTTGGCCATGAATGATAGAAGAGCATTGCAAATGGTGTAGGAATGGTTTTAGTATGTGATTTAATGACAGATCAGAGGAGCACATGTTAACACAGTACAGTTACAGATATTCCATTGAGGGAGATGAACAAGACCACGAGTCCTTTGATGTGTCAACTGAACAGCTCCTAAATCTCTCTGAAAACACACAGGCGGCTGGTGTGTGTATGTGTGTCTATGCATCATGAAGCATAACGGACCGAACTGATCTGCCCATATGCTCTCCCGGATGCTGGAGCAGTCTATGGTCTAGATCTCTGCACTCCCACCCCTCAGGTGTCTTTTGTTCCCACCACGGTGTCCCTCCCTTCTAGTCACAGAGTCACTTTGAAGTGCCAATCAAATCAAAAGGAGGCGCTCACAAAGAACAAACCGCTAGCACAGAATATATGACTTTTTTCCTTTGTCTCTCACTCTGTCCTTTTGTGCATTTTTCCCACTTTGTCAAACTCTTCAATGCGTAATGGAATTATTAGCACATAAAAAAATTTATCAGTATGACATAGCAGGGTCATGGACAGCAGGGAAAAACAATGCTAAATGTGAAAGTAGAATTAAACTAACATGTGTTCCAGCATAGTTTTAATGGCAAAATAAAAATCAACTTTTAAAATGATGGAGAAAACATTTCCCATATATTTTATTACCACATGTCCACTTGGTAGAATCTGTGCCAACAAGACAACATGAACACATTGCTTGACATCCCAACATCCTCAAAAACCACAAACAAAACTATGCAGGTAAAAGAACATGAAATTCACTTTTAAAAAAATGAGGGTTTCAAAAAGTTTCCCCCTCAGTAATGCCATAGAAGAACAATTTTGTGTTCCTCAAAGAACCTTTCAGTGAACAGTTCTTAAAAGAACATTTTTTTTTTCATAGTGTGAAGAACATTTTAATAACCAAATGAACCCTTTGTCCAGTGGAAAGTTTCCATGGATGTTAAAGGTTCTTCATGGAACTAGATACCAATAAAGAAACTTTTAAAGTCTTGTAAGAATTGTTCACTGAAAGGTTCTTCGTTGAGGAACCAAAAATGGTTCTTCTATATGACATCACTGTAAAAACCTATTTTGGAACCTTTATTATTGACAGTATAATATTTGTTCTCATTGTCTGTTATTAGTTCTTTGTAAAAAATTAATACATTTCAGTGTTTGATTTTAAAGACATTTTGTTTAATAAAAACTTAACTCTGTTTTGGGTTGCCACGTTCAATGTGTAAATTATGGGTCTTGAAACAAAGCCAGAATTGCTGGTCCATGTTGAATTTGCATTTTAAATAGATTTACTGACCAGAATCAAGCATTTGACACCAGTCTTGATCTTGTAAATGATCGCTGTCATTCGGTCGACCTCACAGTCCTCACTTCACTGTAAATGTAACACAAAAAACTGGTGTATAAACAATTTTCACTCAGAAACTGCTAGTAAATTTCACGATTAACTGCAAAGAAACAGCAAGTATGAAAGGTATTTCAGTTTTGTATCTGTTATGTTCATGTTTATGACAGATGTAAGTATTTGTTTTGTCACTTTTTATTTGTGGAGGGGTTGTCCTGACAGGAAGCAAGTGTGTTTTGCAGACACCAGTGGGTGCAGGAAGTGCAGATACAGTCATCTCACACACATACACACACACACCGTGTGGTAGATGAGATAAAGGGATTAGTGGACTGCGGTTGTGTGCTTCTGCTCAAACTCTGATTGACATGGCAGCTCTGCGTAATCCTGATAATCCTGTAGAATGCTACAGGTGCTGGAGGTCCAAGGCCTCTGACCTGAGGCCAAACTCACTCTCTCACACACACACACACACACACACGCACACACACACGCACGCACACAAGCAGTCAGATCTCAAGTTCAACAGTTCCTTAACTTTACCTCCCTATTCTAGAATAACATCATCTATAACCTACATCTCTTTTCATGCTAAGTGTTTGGTGCCACTGTGACATGTTTATAGCCAAGAGCGAGAGACGAGCAGCGGGAGATGTACAAACATCTGCTGGAATCGTGCCTAAACAATTCTGCATCGGGAATCCTCCGTGAGACGACTGTCATTTCTCTCACAACGCTTCAACAAGCAAACAGAACTGTTGTTCATTTTTTATTGCACAGCTCATTGCATGAAGTATTGGTTTATGTTTCTTTAAGTCATTCATCATGAAGAGACTTGTGCAAAGTCTGGTATTCAGCTTTTTAGAGGCACATTTGCCAGTATAACTGTCAAAGCAATTAAGACCAAAATTGCATGTTCGTGTTTACATCCTTGTAACATTTTCTTAAGGAGAGAGAAAGATGAGTCTGGGCTCATATTTCTTATTGTTCTTAAAGCTATTGTTACTTTCATTTTCATTATATTGCTTTATAAATTATACTGTAAAGTTAATTGTTTTAATCTAATGTAGTCATGATGATTCAGTCATAATAAAGAATAATGTAAATTGAATAAAACTAGTGAAATTAGTTTCATTATCACGTTTGGCTATACCTGACAACCCATTTTCTACAATGTGCGGCACATTTATTATTTATTAGAAATGAAATAACATTGTTTCAATGTACCATACATGAATTTGCGTAAGGGAGACCAGGGCTAGTTGTCACAGGGATACAGTAAGGATTCAGTAAGGATGCATTAAATTGATCAAAATTGATTTTTTTTTAACATTTTTAATTTATTTTGGTTTTACTACTTTTGCACAGCACAATGGTCAACAACTGTTGTTTTATTGTGCAATATAAATAAACTAACCTAAACCAACCTAAAAGCGACCGTAAAGACATTTCTACTTCAAATGAAGCTGTTCTTTTGAACTTTCTATTCTTCAAATAAATAAATAAATGCTGATGCTGAAAATGCAGCTTTGCATCTCAGGAATAAATTACATTTGAAAAGATATTCAAATATAAAACAATTATTTTAAATCGTAATAATATTTAACAAAATTACAGTTTTTACTGTATTTTTGATATGCAGTCTTGGTGAACATAAGAGGCTTCTTTCAAAATCATAAAAAAAGAAACTCACCGACCCCAAACTTTTGAACAGTGTTGTAGTTTAAATTACAACCATTTTTCTTCAAAGCAAGCTGTGACATTTTTATTGGGATACGTTGTCACATACTTTTTTCATGAAATAAACTATGTGGCAGGTTCCTGTTTCCTGTTTATTAAAGTAGGAGTGGCAATTGTTTTTAAAATTAAATCGAAATAATAATAAAAAAGGAATACTGTAAATAAACTGCTTAAGCCTTAAGAGCTTGGGCATGAGTTCCGATTGGCCAATCCCGCTGCCAATCACACGCCCCTCTTCTTTAAATAGCGTTCACGGCCCGCCGTTCACTCAGATGATAAGAACCAGTGGCAGGCGACGGAGTGATGCGCAAAAACGCGCTCGTGCCAGTGTAAAAACTGTGACTTCCTACATCTCCGCTAGACTGCAAAATGAAATGATTTCAACATCTGCCGGGGACTCATGCTCCTATTTTTCCTCTCCCGCGGAGATGCCCGCATGTTACAGGGACCTGTGCGGAGGAGCAAGTAACTTTGCCAATATGCCCTATTGGACATTGCCATTACACACAGGAGAGTCCTATGGAATATAGTCCGCACTGTCACTCCACTCAGCCGGTGAAAAACAAACTTTTCGTGTTCTGCATCATGCTGTCACTGTGGGTGTACATGCTGTACTGCTGCGTGGGCTACAGCTCCACCTCACCGAGCTTCATGATGGAAGAAAGGAGCAGTAGGAATCCACTCAGACCCCTCCAGAAACAAGACCTGGAGATGTTCCCCAAAAGCCAGTCCAGGGACTTACTAAACAACGAGAGTGATGCTGACAGCAAAGGAGACGGCTGGGAGGAAAATAAGGGCGATGTTGCTTATGACGAGGACTCGGGAGTAGCAGGTGCCCTGAACGGGTCCGAGACCAAAAAGTTGCCCCAAGCGATTATAATAGGGGTGAAGAAGGGCGGGACGCGCGCGCTGCTCGAGTTTCTGCGCCTCCATCCTGACATCCGCGCGGTGGGAGCGGAGCCGCACTTTTTTGATCGCAACTACGAGAAAGGACTCGAGTGGTACAGGTACGTTTTTTAATACGCTGTTATTCATATGTAGGCTACGTTTATCATATCGTCAGGATAAAAGCGGATTAATACCGCGGAATTATGTGGCTCATATTCATCCCAGTAGTGACGCATAAACCTGCAAGTAATTGGGGGGTGACTCCACTTTTGAAGGTTTTCAAGGAAAGAAAAAACAAACAAAAGGTTGAGATTCTCAAAAATGTTTTAGATTTTTACATAGCATATACTTGCACAAATTTCTAGGTCTACGTTTCATGGGGTTTTCTGAAAATCGAAAGAGCAAATTCTAAAATAGAATTATTTTAATATTAACATTAATAATAAAGGACCTCAAAAAACGACGACCTATAAATACATTTCCATGACTTTTGTGATTTTTTATTATAGCCTATAATAGAGTTTGCAGAACCGGAAAACTTTTCTTGTTAAAAATGTTTTGTGTAAAGGATTTAGTCATTGGTTATGACATTTTACACATCACAAACATAACTAATGCTGGGAATTATAGGCATATGCTACATGAAAATAAATTCGAGGGAGAGAAAAGGCAGCTTGTTGGATGCAAACATGTAGCTATATTTAGTCACACCGTTATGTTGGACTTATGGGAATAATTCTTTCCAGTACAGTGTTTGGAAAAGGTGAACTAGACCTAGATAAAATTGGAAGGACTCAAGACAAACATAGACTAAATAAACATTATGATCTCTGCTTGTGTAACACCCCTCACACAGTCAGGTGCACTTGCACAACATTATCAATCCGTAGAGGTTTGACCCTCACCTTTGATTCCTAGTATTTTTATATTTTTTTACCAGACAGCCATATAGAGAAAACAGATTAAATTAACTATGTTTTCCCTAGTGTGGTTTTACCTGAACTTTGAGTGAGTTGTAAAAGGGGTTAATCAGGTTAATAGCGACATTTTTCCCAAGTCATATCAATGGCAAAAGGTGTCCCATTTGACCTGAATTCACCCCTACACAGAAAGTTGTTTTTGCCAGTTCCCAGTTAACAGGGAACGTTCTCAGAACTCCCCAGGCTAACATTCTGACAAGGTTTTCTAAAAGTTCTTTCAGTAACATTAGTAGAACTTTCGTTCAATGTTATCTATCTGGTCTTTAATGATGTTCTCATGACGTTAGCACAAAAATTGAACTTTTTTTTTCCTGAAATGTTTCAGCTGCCCTTACCAAAAAGTACACTTCAAGTTTATTTTAGTAAGTATACTTAAGTAAAGTTCAAGTATATTTTTAAGTATACTTTATGTAGTAAGTAATGTTCGTCTAACGTTTTTTTAAACATTACTATTGGTTTCAGAACATTCAAAGATCATTCAACAGTAACATTAATGTTTGCAATATGATAAAATGGAATTTTCCCTTATGTTCATGTAACCAATAAAAAAATTTATGTTTTGAATGTTCATTGACTATCCCCAGTAAATTTTGTCCATTTTGCTATTTATTTTGACCAAGAACTAGACCTTAGATTGGCCAATCAATCACAGTTGAAACTAATAATCAAACTATGCAATTTGTTTCATATATCAGCAATATACACAAAATGAAATGCTGACACATTCTATTGGAAACACAAGCAAAGGAAAATGCACCCCAAAGCTTTTTATTGTTTGAGCTGATATACAGACTTTCTGTGGAGGAATCTGAAGTCCCAGGTCCTTCGCTATTGACGGAACACAGTGGGAATACAAAGAAGAGGCAAAGAGCAGGATGAGCCCCTTTATCCAGGGAGCCCAGCAGACTAATTGTGAAGCAGAAACATGGAGAGAGAAGCATGCAGCCAGGTGGCCAAGTCTCCTGTGGAGGGATTGAGCTCTGCTTCACTGTTAGTCCAACACAGAGCAGGCGTCCATGTGTTCCCTGTAGGAGGCGTTCGGAAGGGTGACTGAGCACAGCAGGGTTTTAGAACTGTACATGCAGCGTGACTTTTTATACAATGCTTTTGAAGAAACAGAGGGGCTGATCAATTTAATAAACTGGCCATTCATTTGTGGATATTTATGTTTCCGTTTCAAATATTGAAATATTTTACCCCTTAACACATTACAAGTATGCATTACAATATGACATTAATATGAACCCTGTAAAGTGTAAACCCTGAAATATTAGTCAGAATAATATGTTGTTTTTGGTGAATGTTTCAAAAGAGGATCTGTTGAACCCCTGAGGCTCTGCATTAACCCCAGTGAGAAAGAGCAGGCAATTAGAGTGAATTGTGTTGTTTCTTTCTTCACTTTGTATGCAAATGTGCTCAGAGGGTGAAAGTGCTTCTTGAGAAACCCAGCAGGATCTCCCTCAAAAAAAGCCCTAAGAGGAGCAGAATGAGGGGATTCTTAAAACATGCACAGAACTTTTCCTCAGTCTTGAAAGATGTTTCTGTTGTGTTTACTGATAAAATCGCTGCTAGCCTTTGTGTGGGATGGTAAGGCACAACTAGAATGATGGATTTCTTCTGTGTGGAAATGCACAAAGCCAGTTGCTTATAATAATTTATAAAGCCTTGGCTCTTCTCTTCACTGGCACATAAAGGGAGTGTAGCGTTTCTGTTCAAAAACCTAGTAAGCAACCTTCCTGTCAGCTGCCTAAATAAAAAAACTCACATGGATCCTTAACTCAAGCTAATACTCTAATTTATACAGCACACACAAATATTGAGTGAAATAGTCAATTTTATGTGAAGTATATGCTGCCTGCTTAGGCCAAGGCTGACCTAAAACATATTTTTCTATGAATGTTATCACTGAATTGAAGCAGAATTCAAAACTCAAGTGTTTCAGAGATTTCCAGACTAGAAGTAAAATGATTTCATTTTCCCTATATTGTCCTATATCTTTGAACAGATGTAAATTCTGAGTTATGAGAGTGCACGAATGCTAAGACGTCATAGTTCGGTCATGAAAGGACCCGCAGGCCCCCACCTTGAGCTTTGATGCGGGTCTGGAACGTGTCCCATACAAACTCTGTCCGATTATTTGAAGTAGCTGCATACCACCACTTCTCGTACCCTCCTGGGTTTTTTGACAAAGTGACATTCCCACAAGAATTCCTTCTCAGGTTGGCTCTCTGCTCTCTTAAAATGACCCAGGCTAAGCACTCATTTCGCTTGTGAACAGGTGTGTGGGATATACTTAAGCAAAAGGGCACGAGGGGCTGTTCTCTATTTTAAAAATCATGGCTAAAAGGGCTTGCAAAACCTCTAGGTGTAAGGGCAGGATACAAATTTTCTTTAAATTTGTTTAAAAATTTAAAGTTATTTTGTTAAGCTAATTAAAAGAGATGGCAGCTAATGCCACTATGGGTGGTGCACAGCAAGGCTAAATATAATATATACACACCACTTTTAAAAATAAAGGTTCTTTATTGGCATCTATAGTTCTATAAAGAACCTTTAACATCCATGGAAACTTTTCATTGCACTTTAGAGTGAAAGAGAGGTTCTTTAGAGTGAAAAAATGTTAATACGTTTTTAAAATAAAAGGAAAACAATGTTTCTTTAAGTACTGTTTACTTGAAGGTTCTTTGGGGAACCCAAAATTGTTTTAATCTATGGCATCACTGCAAAAATGCAATTTTTGAACCTGCATTCAGTAGTTTGGGGTCACTAAGATTTTTAAAAATCTTTTTGAAATAAATCACAACGGCTGCATTTATTTGATTAAAATACAGTAAGGCAGTAATATTGTGCAATATTATTCCAATTTAAAATAATTGTTTTCTATTGTAATATATATTAAAAGCTATTTATTCCGGTGATGCAAAGCTGTATTTTCAGCATCATTACTCCACTCTTCAGTGTCACATGATCCTTCAGAAATCATTCTAATATGCTGATTTGCTGCTCTTGAAAATTAATCTTTTGTAACAAGTGCATATTCTTAGAAGAAGAAAAAAGAATCACCTTGAAAGAATCACATTGTATTGTAAGTGTAATTTGTGTCCAAACATGTCATAAACATCTTCAAAGAAGCTGATTTACACACAGTCTGCATAATCATCTAACACAAACATAAGTATTGCAAAAGCAACCTAGGTGTGCTATCAGAGCTGTGATTGTAACAACTAAAAACATTGAGAAATTCCACTGAACAGTTGCATAAGCAGACAGCAACTCGGTAAATCCCTGCTGCAAATTGCTGTTCTATGACGACCGTCTTCACAGCGTCTCAGACTATCCTGAGGGAACTTCAAACAGCACCGAGACTTTAAAGGCATAAACAACAGCCTTTGAACATGCTACCTGATAGCAGACAGTGTAAACATAGGTTTACAAAGAGCTCTTCAAAAACAAGCTCAAGAGAAGACACAGCTCACTTCCCTCTAGACAAAACAAGGTAATAACATCCATCTAACACAGCAGGCTCTCTAATTTAACCCTGTGCTGCTGGAGAACTTTATTTCTCTAACGGTCCAAGAGTGCAGTTTAATCTTAAACTGTGGCTAGTAAAGACTTTATCACTATCTGTAGAAGTTTGGTTTTCTTCTGTAGTTGGCTTGCTAAAAATACCCATTACTCATTTTTTATTCATTATTGCTACAGCAAGCAACATCACTATTGCTTATACTTAGTGTTAAGAGTTTTTCAAAACCTTTAACTCTAATTATTAAACTTTGCACACAACTCAAACTCCATTTTGTGCTACAGATATGAAAAGTTGAAATTGTGTGGCTTGTTGAGGAGATTTATGGAGGGTCCCAAGTTATATCTAGGGTCAATAATATTGTGTATTAGCAATTATATACTATATATACAGTATATAGTATATTAGCGATTTTACCATCTCGCTGTTGAGGAATATAATGTAGCGATAATGGAAGCGTTAACAACAAGTTTATGTGTGTGTGCAGCGCAATCTGCGATCTCCGACCTCCCTCTCTCTCTCTCTCTCTCTGTGTGTGTGTGTGTGTGTGTGTGTGTGTGT